GAGAGAAACAAAACATTATGAAATTAATAAATGTGATTAAGTGCTATAATTTCACTCCACTCAAGGTCTGAATATGCTTTTTTTTTTTTTTTAAGGTTTTTTTTTTTTTTTTTTCCCCCCAAAGCCCCAGTAGATAGTTGTATGTCATAGCTGCACATCCTTCTAGTTGCTGTATGTGGGACTCGGCCTCAGGATGGACGGAGAAGTGGTGCCTGGGTGCACGCCCGGGATCCGAACCCGGGCCACCAGCATCGGAGCGCGAGCACTTAACCACCAAGCCACGGGGCCGGCCCAGAATATGCTTTTTGAAAAAAGCACTACTATGCTATGAATTTTAATTACTTCAAGTTACTAGCATGTCATAATAGAGATAACACCAGTTCTTGCATTAAATAGATTCTCTCTCTCTCATTTTCTCTTTCAGTCTTGCTCTCTTTTCTTTAGTGAATGTGAATCAAGTCATATCATTTTTGTTTCACTCAAAATTCACAAAGACTGTTGTACTATTTTCTAATCCAACACCAGCTACAACACAAATTCATTTCCAAACATCCTAAAAGAAGAATAACCGTATCTAATGCACAGTATGGTGTTGCAAATTAGTATCACTTTATCTCCTTCAATACCCTGAAATCAGCTAAGTCACAGCTGAAAGAACTTGGGACATAAGCTAAGTTTTAAATGCAGTGCAAGAATAAAGATATCTCTCATGTCTAGTCAAGAGATAACCCTTATTTGTAGCAATTCACATTCTCAAAAGGCATGTTTCTTTCCATTTAAAGCATGTTGTTATGATTTTTGCATATTAGATCACTGGTTAAAGTGCCATAATTTGATGTGCACACAAGTTAAACTCTATTCATAATTACAAACTAAACCTTAAATTCAACTGCCATTCTTTTAAATCTATGCCCAAGATGACAAATAGGTGAGACTGTGGATGACTTTTCTAAGTCCATCACCATTGCTAAAAATAATTAAAAGTGAATTCATATTAAGAATGCGTGAGTAAATATTTTTGAGAACAAAAGATAGCACACAGTTATCATTAGCAGTGCCCACTAACCAGTCATGTGTTTGGAGTGAAATATAAATAATTTAACCAAAGGGGCCTTTGTTTTCTTTTTTACAAAATTAAAAGTTGTCTCAGAGCATATGCTATAGTGCTCAATAAATTTCTCAAATGCATTTGTATTTCTAAAGATTTTCTTTTACACTTCCAACATTTTATTTCAGTATAACAAACAATAGTAAAAACTTAATCAAAATTCACCAAAAATTTTCTCCTCCAAATTTTCACCAAATCTCACCTATTTGTAATTTGAGGTACAAATTTTTTAAAATATCAAGTGAGTTTAAGGTTTAGTTTGTATGAGATATTCCATTCTCTACCCCAAGAAGGCTATGGTCTAAGTATCTATTATGAATAAATGAAGTAATAAATTTTGCAGTAAAAATTTTTATATTCCTCTTTCTAAAAAATAGATTTTCTCAAGCAATTAAACATCATGTCTAAAAGTTATCAGAGTATGTTAATAAAAGAGCATTAATTTATTCATTTCACCATTTCAACAACTAGAAATAAGATGCCAGGAAGTACTATTATCCCATTTGACCAAGGAGGAAACTGAAGCCCAATGATCACCAATACCCATGACCACAACACAAAATAATATAAAACAGATGTTTTAGACGGATGTTCCTAAATACCTGGTTCCCAAATACTTGAGCCACTCGCTCTAATTCAGTAAAACAAATGAAGCACGTCTGCTAATATTGTTGCATCAAAATAATGAAGTATGAAACTAGTGTTTGGTTATACCTGAAAAATTGTTAGTGAGACCAAAAATGCAGGCAGGTACTCCAAGACACCAAAGCAATGAAGAGTTAGTTGATTCATGAGTCACTATTTCTGTGGCATTAATCTGTGAAAGGGACTAGTAAACATAAGAATTTCTACAGGGTAGGCAAGGCAAGAAAAGCCAGGTTATCAAAACCCATCAGACTCTGTCAAGTTACACATCCATTTCTGAACGGCTGGGGCACTTTGAAAGGGTACCTGGCCAAAATGTGCGCAAATAGCAGACAGACCACACCATCGGCTCCACAGTGTTTAAACATGACACAGCTCAAAACATCACAATAGCAACACAGGCCACAACGGCTAATTTACTAGGGGGGCATTTCTATAAAAAGGCATTTACACTGACAGGAAATATTAAACAAGCACCTATTCACTAATGAAAGAGAAGAAGAGAGTGTCCCTTCTGATGTTTCATTCCAGTTATATATGAATGTCTTAAATCCTCTTCTTCAGAGAAGGTCCTTCTTAAGGAGGGCACTCCTGTCTGACTCATCTTTGTGGTCTCACAGTGATGGAATATACATATGAAATACAGGCTTCTGATACTAAGGGCACATTCAACCTGGCATCAAATAAGTTTTATGTAAGGGATTCTGCTGCATTGAGAGACAGGTCTGGGGAATGTGACCACTTGGGATCTCCCTGATCAAGATGGGGCTCCATTTCCTCCTTAACGGTTATTTGTATGAGACATCCTATATGTTTTTGTTTTCAAATCCCTCCCTTAGTTTGCATCTTTCCTAAAAGGGGATTTAAATGGACAGACTCTAATAGCCTATTGTGGTTATTCCATTCACAATGTGTCTTACCAAGATAAGAACTGTGAAAAATGGTTAAAATTTCAAAGGGCAGTAATAATAAGTAATAACTTCCTGAGAAGTGCACAGCTCAAGTAAGAGCTGAAGTTTATTAAGAGTAAGTTTTGACAAAATACCTTCATTTCCCTTTTTTTAGATAAGGTATCTAGTCTAGTAGATCACAGAAATGTATAGACAGTACGGAGTTCAGCAACAAGGTGTTTGGCAAATCATCACATGATATTCTTGAGAAATGTACAGAGAAATGTGGGTGGATTGACAGAGTAAAGGGTCTATGATACACTGGAGGGATGTTTATGGCAGAATGACACAGAACACTCTTATCAATGACTTCATCAGTTAAACCCAGAAATCCAAACTGAAGAGAGGTTTGGCTTTCAGAAAGTATGGACACATTTTTTTCATACTCCTCTTCCGAGAAGAAATAGAAAAGTCATGAGGAAAAACAAAACAAAACACCTATTTGAAGACACTGGAGAATAACCAAGGCAGCAAGAACTTGTGTTAAAGATCTAAAAGATAAGGGAAGCCCACAGTCTTGATCCAAACTTGGCACTGTTTTTCCTTTCGAGACATTTGCGTATGCAAAAGTGAAACTGAAAAGTCAGAAGAATGCAGTGACTGTGAGCTTGAGAGACAGAGAACTCCTGGCAGTCCCACAGAGCTGAGAGGCTCAAGGGAGAGATCTGGAGTTCAGCCTCAACCAACCATAAGGGGCCTTCATAAAACATCCCAGGAGTTCAATTGGGGTCTTGAAGAGCTTCGCCCTAAGAGAAAGGGTAAACTGGAAATAAAGACAAGACCATCTAAAACCTCAAATGACCTCTAGGATATTTCATACATAATATATGGCTCCTAATAAAAAGTAAGCAACTGTAAGAAGTCAAATATCGACCAAAAATCAAGAGGAAAAAAAAGACCAGACCGAAGAATCCAACATTTAGGAAATCTAGACACTGTACTAACCAAGACATGGAATTTAAAAATAACTGTGATTATTTTGTTCAAAAAATTATATATCAATGTGAAGAATTTGGGAAAGTAACTAGAAACAATAAAAAATAATCAAATAGAAACTTTAGAATGGAAAAATACACAATGGACTTAAGCTGAAGTAAATAATAAAAGATAAGAAAATCTCTAACTGTTTAAAAATTAAGCAATACACTCATGTGGGAAATCATAAAGAAGATAAAATATTTTGAACTGATTAATAATAAAAATACAAAATTCAAAACCTGTGGGATATAGGCAAAAGCCATGTGCAGAGAGTAACTGAGGGCTTTAAGGGCAGATATTAGAATGTAAGAAGGCCTGAAACTGTCAGTATCCGCTGAAGCTGGAGCTATGTATATTTTTTGACACGGCAATTCCACTCCTAGTTGCATAAACCAACAAAAATGTGTGCATATGTGCACCAAAAGACATGCATAATAGACAGGGACATTAAGGCATAATTTTTAATTACCAGAAATTGGAATAAACTCTAATGTACATCAATAGTAGAAGAGAGAAAGAATTTGTGGTATGTACACAAAAGTGGAATGCCTTAAAGCAATAGAAGCAAATGTGGACATATCTTGAAATGTTCTTGAACAAAAGAAGCCATCAAATAATACATATGATAACATTCCATTTTTCAAAGCTCAAAGCAGGCAAAAAATTAACCTACAGTGTCGACGAGGCTAGTGTTACCTTTAGGGAGAAGGGCAATGATGAAGAGGGGATCCAATGGGGGCTTCTGGGGCCATGGTAATAATCTCTTGCATGACCTAGATATGGGCTGCGTGAGTTTGTTTACTTGGTGAGCAGTCTTGAAGACTCCAAAAACCAACGATAAATAAGTTCTGACCTTAACAGCAGTTTGGTCAAAAAGATTTAGGGTAAAGATCAGGAAACAATCCATGAGGAAGTGTGAGGAACTAGTAAAGCTTGACCTAGGAAAGGGATGACTTGGTGACGCAGATTGTGGGCATCTTTAAATATTGGGTTGTCTGATGAAAGAGCCACTAGGCTCAATTCTGGAAGATGTATTTCAGCACAATAAGGGAAAGGATGTTATTGAGACTCAAATGTTCATTCAATATACTAACTGCAAATAATAAAACTGCCCAGAAATGCAACATACTCTGTCTTAATAACGAGGAAAATCTCAATTGTTGAAGATGTTCTAACAGAAGTAGAAAGACCTCTCATCAGCGGTCAGTGGAAGAGGCTCCCACCTTGAATGGAGATGGCAGATGACCACTCAAGTCCCTTCCACCACCTTTGTAATCTATGCATACGTTCAACATAGAACCAGAATAAGAAAATCTTACCCTTAATCGCGTAGTGGAGATCTCAGCTTTTAAAATATCGGGATCATATTTAGTACTGGATGAAGATCCTGAGAATACTTTTCAAAGAGAAAAAAAGAAAAAAAAAGTTAACTTCTACAAGTCGCACAACTAGTTCTCAGCTTAGAACTACAAACTCTAAAAACAACAAGGTTACATGCTTCTGTGGATATTCACTTTATAATTCCTTTATTGTCATGCATCAGACACCAAAACATAAAAAGTAATCTTCAACCTTTTTAATTTTTTTTAATAAGAAACGAAAAAGGAATGTCATAAAGGTGCTGGTGCTTAATCTTCTTCGGAATTTTATACCTACAGAAGACCTTATTGCAGATACAGTTTATCAGAGCTTCGCAGGATCCAGAAACTTATAATTTAACTTCCAAGTACATCATAGCTGCTTCTTTAAACAAGGCCAGCTCCAGATTATAAATTTTTGAGATGAGAGAGAGGTTGGTGGTCAAGAGAAACTTCCTTCTAGCTAATAGTTCCAGTTCCTCCGCACTAAAACTACTGTACGAGAATAGCAAAAAGGGCCAAATTATCTGCCTTGATCTGAAAAGGTAAAAATTAACTCATGAATAAATAAAAGGTAATCAGGCAGAGGGAGGAGCAAAAACAGAAGGGATACATCATCCCCAAATGAGGAGCCTTTTATCTGGAATGGGGTCGAAGGGTTTTACGGAGAAATCTGCACTATGTCCTCACCCTCCCTCAAGGCTTTGAGGGACTCTTTCTGCCTAGGAAGGAAGAGGACTAGAAATGAAACTCCACAGAAACCCAAGTGGCCTTCTGTTATCTAAAATTTGCTCCCCATTTCTCAGGTCTGAAGAGCCACAGGTACTTACAGCTTGTGCGGGAACTTGACTTTTCCTTATAGGCATCATTTAACCGTACATATTCGTCTAGGGCCAAAGCCAGTCGTTGCTCCTTCACGTGGTACAGCTCCTTCTGTGTCCTGAGGGCATCTTGAGCCACCGAGAGATAGTCCTTGAGCATCTTCTCCTGTTCCCCCCTCCATTGCTTCCTTGGATCTTCAATCTGTGTGGTTTCTGAAAATATATTAGGTGGGTTATTTTTTAGAATTGAATTATGTTTTTTTGGATTATTTAAGCTTTAAAAAAAGTAGCTAGCTTTAATTCTTATATCCTCTAAGTAGTTTATTAGTATTTGTGAAGTGACTTCTCCAGAAATTTGATATAGTTTTTGTTTTATTTTACCAGTCCCTCCCCACCCCCACTCCCTTTCAGGTGTCAACAATTTTTTCTCACTAAGAATCTATCACACACAATGTTGCCCATGTGAGCTTCCACAGCTGTGATCAGGCCACTCCTTTCAAGGACTCTCTGGCTGCCCAGTACCTACAGAATAAAAGCCAAGCTATTTACACCAGCATTCAAGGCGCGGTATGACTGGAACCCAATCTACTTCGCAGGGCACGTGCTTCCGTTCACTGCCTACAGGACTCCTGCCATGTTGCCCGCTACATCAACGCTCCTCAACGTCTGGTGTGCAGACTGTGACCTGTTATGTGTCCATGACAATAAGTACAGAAATCAAGAGTAAACACTCTGAAATGTTTATCGCAATTTTGTACAGTTATTGCTGTATATCTGTTGACTCTGACAACACTGGGGCTGGCATTTTGCATTTCTTTTTTCCCCCTTTTTCTAATAATTCATTTTTATTGTATTTTGCAAAAATAATCAGTCAGTTCATAGTGGATCAGAAATTTACAAACAAACTCTGGTCCTGGTTTGAGGAGAATACTCTGTGGCACAGTTCTTAGTTCTGCGCTTCTGCACACTAGAGTCACGTAGAGAGCTCTCAAAAAATCCCAGACCAGTTAGAGCTTCTGCGAGTGGAACCCAGGCAACGGCAGGTTTAAAAGCTTCTCAGGTGGGGCTGGCCTGGCGGCGTAGCAGTTAAGTTTGTGCACTCGCTTCAGTGGCCCAGGGTTCGCAGGTTCAGATCCCGGGCGCAAACCTATGCACCGCTTATCAAGCCATGCTGTGGCGGCGTCCCACATATAAAGTAGAGGAAGATGGGCATGGATGTTAGCCCAGGGCCAATCTTCCTCAGCAAAAAGAGGAGGATTGGCAACAGAGGTTAGCTCAGGGCTAATCTTCCTCACCAAAAAAAAAAAAAAAAAAGAGGCTCCTCAGGTGATTCCAGTGAGCAGCCAAGACTGAGCACCACGCTCTGCAAATGCTCAAAAGGCTCACATGCTGCCTTCTCCCTGAAGTTACCGAAACTACCCAATCCCAAACCTGCTCAAACTTGCCTACCCTGCCTCGCCCGTTCCTCCCCAAGGACACCACAATAAGGGCTCTGGCCCAAGCTTTCTCCTTCGCCCCTTCTGCTTCCCCATGTGGCCCTGCACAGTGTGGTGCTCCCCCTTCCCTTGGGAACTGTAAGTAATACAACTTCTGTCAACGGCATTGACCTGTCTGTGTCATCACTCAGCTACCTCTATAAATTAATCCAAGGTACAATCAAAACAGGTACGTCACGTGGGCCGGCCACTGTTCCTGACAAGTCAGGACAGGAAAATTAACTTATCAATTTGCTGGAACGTCCAGTGGCACATACTGTCTTCAAAATGCGTGGTATGTGAATCTCAATACCTGGGCTGCAGTAAGTCAAAACCCAGAGCATGATACGAAGCGATCTGATGTGCACCTCAAGAGTCTCTAGAGGCCAGGCTGGTTCTGGAAATGTTTAACCTGGTCTCTAGGGATATGGAATACACTAAACTAAAGCAGTTCAGGCTGTGAAGTCTGGGTCCCCTTAGGGCCAAGAGAGGGGCCGGGTGATTAACAAAATGGCCTGGGTCAGCCAGACACACTGCAACCACTGCCTCAGACCTAGAGCCTTCGCTTCACACTCACTGGTTAATGAACGTTGAGCTTTCTCTCAAGAAGCATTTTGAACACTAATTTTTAAAGATGTAAATATTTCAATATGCAAAAGAGGCATATCTCATGTCATTGTGGGAAAATATATGAGTCAATGTCTAAAGAGGAGATGTAGAAGGGAACAGTCCTGGATGGACAGCCCCTCCAGCCAAGAATCTTCAAGGACATCATCACTGTGGGGCAGCCGAGCCATCTGGGGAATATGGAGAATGGGCAGAGATCAGTCGATAAGAGCCTAAACTTCTCAATTTTAAATATTCACTATAACTCAGGTCTCTGGCTATCCAAACATATAATATATATATTCATTTCCAATATTTACATACAGGAATGCAACCTGACTCAAAGTACAGAAATCACCCTCTAACAAATAGAAATTTGAAATAGAAAACAAAAGTTTTCATAACTGTGGATGACCTGCAATAATCCTCACCTCCTAGGACCCATGCCCCTTGAATATGGACAAGACCTAGTGACTTGCTTCTCATGAACCCACAGAGACTAAGTGATGTGATATCACTTGAGACTAGGTGACAAAAGGCTGTGAATGCCATCTTGCTCTCTCTCTCTCTCCCCAGCTCTTCTTGGCTGTCGTGCTCTAATGAAGCAAACTGCCATGTTGTAAGCCGTCCTATGGAGAGCCTATGGAGGCAAGGAATGAGGGGGCCACTGGCCAGCAGCCAACAAGGAAGGAAATCCTGCCAACAACCACATGAGAGAACTTGGAAGCAGATCCTTCTCCAGTCATGCCTGGAGACGACGCAGCCTGCCTAACGTCTTGAGGACAGCCTGTGAGACTTTGAGCCAGAGGATCCAGCTAAGCTTTGCTTGGATTCATGACCCACAGAAACCATGAGATAATAAACGTATTTTAAGCCACTAAGTTTTGGAGTACTTTGTTATAGTGAAATATATAACTAATAAACTAACAAAATACAGAGATAATACAAATTGAAAATGTGTATGAAAAACTTGAAATGTTTATAAGTCATAATAGTTATAGTAAGAGGTACTCCCAGTTTTCTCTCAATATCGTTAGAGGTTTTATCTAATCATACTCCTTGCATACTGGGGAACTGGCATACTTTCATAAAATACTTGTCAACAGCTGAATTGCCACAAAACACTGAAAGTAACACTGACTGACACTTAAATGAATGAAGTACAATAATAACAATAATAATAAACTATCAGCATCTGTTTTGGCTAGATCAGCAGAAACATTCCAGTAGACTAGTTTAAGCACCGTTCACTACCAGAGCTTCCACAGGAAACATTTACATTTCTGAAATACTGCACAATTCAAATATGAACTACAAAAGAGGGTTCCCAAAGGCCCCTTAGAAGAAGCCTTCAGAAAGCAGGACTGTGCTTCATCTCCATCAGTTATATTTGCTGAATAGATTTGTGATGGATATTTATTAAATGTAAATACTCAAAAAAAGTACATTACACAAACATGGTATTTTTTTATTAAGACCTGGTAACCTTGGGAGATCACTGTATTATAATGCAATGTAATTTGCATGTTGTCTACTATATGAAAGAAGTAATATATTACACACCGTTAAAACATCACGTACCTCAAGGGAATTCACATTCCATCAGTTTTATAGATGTGGAAATTTATAGATAGAGAACACATTGCAACTTACAAGAGCTTACCGCAGAAGATAGACTCTTCAAAGGAATATTATTTCTGTCTATCACGCGTATTTTTATTCTTCGGCTGTGCTCAGGAAGAATGAATGAAATGGATATGAATAACTTCCCTTATCTTCCTTTTTAGAAACTACCTGCTATGTTTATTTATTATCTGTTTGTTACTTCTACAGACAACTATTGACCATCTAATACGTGCAACAGGAGAAACAAGACGTTCAGGCGTGATCCCTCCTTCCAAGGAACTTACAAAATAGAGAAGAAACTGTGACAAGTGAATTTAAAAGAAACAACAACCATCTTTGTACGGCAGAAAGTGATAAAAGCTTTGAGAGGAGAACGGTTAAGTGCCACAGCAGTTTAGAGACACAGGGGTTTCCCCTGGCTGAAAAAGTAAGGTCTCATAGGACAGGCAGTGATCACCCTTCAGGACCTAGCCCCGTTGACTTTCCAGCCGTCTTACCCCACCCCCACTCACACCAGCCTTCACTGCACTGAATTTCTCCAGACTTTTGGCTTTACCTGTGGTCCTTCCAGGAAGCTTCTCCCTCTCCCGACCCCCAAATGCTCCCCCTCCCCTTGTTCCCCAGGCCTGGGTAACTCAGTCATTCTTTAGGTATCAGCTTAAAGCACCTTCCCTAAGGAGCCACAGCTATACCCGTCACAACGGACAGGGTGCTTCTCCCTCCTCTCCTGGCGCGATGGTGGGTCTTTCCACATTCTACGACACTTTCTATTTCCTTTCCCAGTACTTGAGCAGGGACTAACCTCTGGTTCTTGAACATCAGATTAACAACTACAAAACTCATTTTGTAAGCAATGGTGGCCACAGAAAGTTTCTAACCAAGGGCATGAAAGGACCTTAGCTGTATTTGAGGAGGATCATCTGCCAGAAATGTGACATTCTACTACAAAAGAGTTGATATGACTGTGCAGAAGATTTTTTTGATGGAAGATAATACATTAAGTGAAAAAAGCAGTTTATAAAACCATATGTATGATATAATCCCACTAGAGGTATAAAATATATCTAAAACTGAGTGTGTGTATTAATATGAAAAAGTCCCAAAGGATACACACTAAAAGGCATAGAATACTTAGTTATCTCTGGGTTGTGTGAATATGGATAATTTTTTATTTGTATTGAGGTCATAATAGTTTATAACATTGGGAAACTTCAATTGTACATTACTGTCAGTCACCATATAAATGTGCCCCTTCAACCCTTGTGACCAACCCCCAATCCCCTTACCCCTGGTAACCATCAAATTGTTCTCTCTGTGTGTGTGTTAGTTTATCTTCCACATATGAGTGAAATCATACGGTGTTTGTCTTTCTCTGTCTGGCTTATTTCACTTAACATAATACCCTCCAGGTCCATCCATGTTGTTGCAAATGGGACGATATTGCCTTTTTTTATGGCTGAGTAGTATTCCATTGTATATATATACCACATCATCTTTATCCATTCA